GCCCCCACTGCACACCGGGCGACACGAGCGCACATGCGACACTGACATCCTCGACCCTGACATCCTCTGAGGCAAAACGTCGATCCACGCGCGATGCCCGAGCGTTGGATGGGCCCGCGAGATACGAGCCAGAGCCATGACACAGTGCGCCATGCACTTCGCGAACCGAGTGCCTGATCTGAGCCCCTGAATGATGCGGCGATTCACGATAACGACCGCGTTGCCACGCACTGGGCAAGCCCCATATACAGCACCACGGGTGGACATCCCATACGAAGGGTAGCAAACGCCAACAGGTCCCACTCGACGCCGTCGCAGAACCCTTTGACGTCTCACATGCCGTGACCCGTGGGCAACCCCATCCAACCAGCAGCCCCGCCAGCTAAGGCGGTGGAATGCCTCGACCAAGGAGTCGTTGCCACGAATAGCTTCACCTCCCCCTGTCTCAACTAAACCTCACCACTCACGGACTTGATGCCCGACAAGATACGGCCGACCATAGAAATTAAACCAATCACGCGGCCACCTTCCACTCTCTCAGGCAACAGTTCACCGAGCGCCAATTGTTTTTGGCGAGGCCATGCGAGGGCAGCCCCGAACACATTCGCCAGCGCCGCGAGCTCCGCAAAACCTGCCCGCGGGAGGCGTTCCACGCCCAGTGGTGTAAATCGGTCAGCTCCGAGTCCTGTCTCACCATGCATGCGAGGAGCTGCCTCTCGGACTTGATCAGCGGTTCTCGGCCCCGTGGGCTCGTCGCGGGCCGCTTCCTCGATGACAGCGAAAGTTTCATTGGGCCTCTCCCCCTGAGACTCGCCAGCAAAGCCCGCGCGTTCTGACAGACGCGGTTTGGCCTGACTGGCATCCGACAAAACAGTGGCAAAGCGAGAGGCGGATGGGCTCGGGGAGCACCCGCCGCTCGGCTCTGACGCCCCAGCACAGCGCGGCTTGGCCAGAGGGGCCTCCGACAAAACATCGGCAACTTGAGACGGATGGGCTCGAGGAGCACCCGCCGCTCAGCTCTGGCGCCCCAGCAAAGCGCGGCTGGACCAGAGAGGCCCCCAGCAAAACATTGGCAACTCGAGTGCGAAGAGGGTTCGAGGAGCACCCTTCCACGCGTTCTGACGCCTCGGCAAAACATGGCCCAGCGCCGCCACGTCGCCCTGCGAAAGTCCAGAGCTCCTTCGGAAGGTCCAGGATGTCCTCGGGGCGCACTCAGACTGCACTGCCATTCTAAACCCTTGTGACGGAAGAGGTCCTTCTCATGCTCTTGCGCAGCGTTCCCAAAAGATTCCTGAGAAGTAATCCATGTACGGAATTCGCTCAAATACTCGAATTGCTCGCCGCAGAGCACGCTCGGAGAGCTTGTCAGCTGGATGTTGGAAACTGCAACACCGCGCGTCGCCTCCAAGTTCAGGAGCAAGCCATGCCAAACATCGAGCCCTGCATCCCTTTGGCTCAACAAAAGCTTGTCAACTCCATCGGGCTTTTCTGTGGCACGGTGTCGGGCCGCCTGCTGCAACTGAACAAGTTGGGCCCGTCCGTTGCCTCAGCCTCGGTGCCGCCCGAACTGCGGGCGGGCGGAGGCAACCCGCCTCCACCAGCACGCGACCTGATCTCTCAAAGAAGCTGCCCGAGACCGGGTATTTTGCTTGACTGATTCTTCAGCCAAAGAACATCCAGCGCCCCGTCGGGGGCCTCCAGATGGTAAAACCTGATGATGAGCGGGAATGACATCTTCGACAATGTTGGCCCACTCAGAATACCGTGAGCCCACGAAATGTGCATGGTCCGGATTGAGCCGAAAAGCTATTGGAGCGAGAAAGCGAGGGGGAGCAGGCGGAGCAGAACAACCAAGATGTTGGGGCCTATGTTGTTCCCAGGTATCCTTTGGGATATATAAACTGGGCTCGACCTTCTCTCGTGGCACTTTCCGAGGGCCCAGGCTCAACCTGGCTCACCGATTCACGACTTCTGGCTGGACGGGGGCCCCCACCGCTGGTGTGACCATTCTTCTGCTGACTACCGATGGCAGACTCTGACGCACATGCTTTTTCTGCATGCCAGGCAGGACCGCCAAAGTTGGGCTCGCTGGCCCAAGGATCCTCTTCCTCGCCAGACCGGAGGGGAAAAGCCCCTGCACCAGGGACTTCGGATTCCTCGTCCTGGGAAGGGTCACAGCCAAAAACAGAGGCTGAAACTTGCGGCAAATTCAAAGCGTCTCCAAAGAGGCTCAGATAAGTGTCGGATCTTTTGCCCGAGGCGATGGCAGCTTGCGCCTTCGTCTTGGCCGGAGAGGCCCTGGGCCCCGGGGCGGCACTCATGCAGCACAGGGGGGGGGAACTTGGGGCAGGCGGCCCGCACATCCCAAACGCCGCGTCAAAAGTTGGAGGCTTGAGGAGCGAAGAGAGAGAGAGAGAGAAGAGAGAGAGAGAGATTGAGAGAGAGAGAGATTGAGAGAGAGAGAGATTGAGAGAGAGAAAGAGAGCGAGTCCTATATGTGGACGCCAGGGCGGGCTCCAGCTTGATGAGGTACGGGGGGGCCGCCTCGGAGACTACCGCGCAGTCGAGCAGGCTGCCCTTCTCGCCAGAGTCGCACGTGCACTGGACCCCTGGAAGTACGACTCGGCCCTGTACTTGCCGCAGAAATTCCACTACGAGAGAGCACATCAGGCTCCATGTTCCAATCGCCAAGGCAGATCCATGGCAACTGCAGAGCAGCGAGGAACCCTCCTATCTTACATACGTAGCCCGGCAATGTTTCTTCCCGAAAAGCCCATGGACGAGAAGCAGTCTACAACCAGGAGCACGAGGGAGAACCCCTTGAAGCGCAGCGCGGACGCGGCGAACACGACCAGCGCGTCGCAACCGTCGGACTTGAGCGCCCCCATCATCTTGGCCTTCGCGAGCGGCTCGACCTGTAGATGGCCCCGAGCAAGAAGCCATTCACCACCTTCGTTGGCGCGATCCCCCCGCGCCTGGCCGCCTCGCCCTGATGGCCAGACGGCGCCCGCTATCAACCTGAGCTTCTTCTGCCGAGCTTTGCTCTCCCAACTGCGCATCTGACTCGGCCCCGCGCGAGTTTCAGCGCACCCCACGACATCGAACTTAGCTAACAGATCTAAGTAGTGCGTCCATGCACGATCACCCATTGCCGCGACGTTCGCGAACAAATGTTGAAGACGGGCTCGGACTGGTCAGAACCCGAATCTGTTGACAAAACTGGCGCGTGCGCCTGCGCCCCCTGGCGAAGCTGTTCGCTGGGGACGAGGCCGCGGGCGCTGACCGTCAGGCAGCAGCGTCGCCCTGGCCCTTGCCCTTGGCCTCGGCAGCCGCAGCCGCCTCAGCCGCCGCGAACTTGGCAGCCGAGATCTCGGCCGCCCCCGCGCGGAGGGCCTCCTTCGCTGCGGCCTCGGCCTCAGCGCCACGAGCAGCGGGCGCAGCTGCAGCAGCAGGTTGAGCAGAAGGAGCGTTGCCGTCGCCACTGCCGCCGCCTCCGCCTGCACCAGCACCCTCATGATCCCATTGCTCTCGGCAGCGGCACCCGCCTGCGCGCCATCATCAGCGGCCGTGACCTCGGAGTCGTCAACCCGCCTCCGCTTGGCCGCCAACCGCTTGGCGATATCTGCCTTCGCCTTCTCCGCCTTCTCTAGCCAAGACTTGACTTCGGCATTCTTCGCCGGGAAGCTCTCCTGCATTTGCAACAGGGTGGCGTGAATATGCTTGAGCTCCTGCCTCTCTGACTCCTCACACTCCAGGCCGTCTACGTCGTCGAACAGACTGGGGCCCCAGGAGACCGTGAAGGCCTCATGCGACTCGGCCTCTGGAGCAGCCTCGGGCCGTTGCTCGCCGCCAAGCCCCTCGGCACGTGCGAGCACTTCAGCTGCCCGCTCTTTAGCTACCTCTGCTGCTGCCAACGCCTCCGCCACCGCCGCTTCTTTGTTCTCGGCCGTAGCTAAAGACTTGCGTAGGCGACGAACGTTCGAGACCATCTGATCAGGCTTGCGGTCGCAATCCCTCCAGTGGCCCTCCGCGCGTTTGTAGCAATCGGCGTCCGAGAAGGGGGGCGTATCAATGGTTGGGGCCTTCTTCAGGAGCTCGATCCTGGTCTTCAGTAAGCCCTTGAGTTCCTGATGCTCGGTGCTCTTCATGGCGTCCATCAGGTGATCGGTGACGCTGATGGCTGCCGTCCAAGGTGCCTTCCGAGCTGAGGCACCCCGGTCCTCATCCTGGTCGTCGTACCCCCAGACCTCGGCCTCGTCAGCAAACGACACCTTGCCTGGAGACTGGGACCTGGAACGGCAGCCCTTCTTCTTCTTGGGGGTGAGCAGCGGCACGTCACACTCGCACTTGGTACACTTGCCGGCCGACCTGCTGAACACATCGTTCCACTCACACTTCCCGCGCTGGCAGCGATTCCACAGCCGCTGATTGGACCCCGACGTGGCAGAGGAGCGTGGACTGACACGCTTGCTTTGGTCACAGATGACTGGCCCTGCTGCGGGCCCTGCTCTGTGTGCCTCAAGCGCTCCGAGCAAGCACAAGAGCCGGCACAAGTGGGAAAAAGTTTGGGCCTAGGTGGCTTGAGGGGAGGAGGAGGAGGAGGAGGAGGAGAAGGAGGAGGGAGGAGGAGGAGGAGGAGGAGGAGGAGAGGAGGAGGAGGAGGAGGGGAGGAGGAGGAGGCGGAGGAGGAGGAGGAGGAGGAGGAGGAGGAGGAGGGAGGAGGAGGAGGAAAGGAGGAGGAGGAGGGAGGAGGAGGAGGGGGGGAGGAGGAGGAGGAGGAGAAGAAGGAGGAGGAGGAGGAGGAGCAGGAGGAGGAGCAGGAGGAGGAGCAGGAGGAGCAGGAGGAGGAGCAGGAGGAGGAGCAGGAGGAGGAGGAGGAGCAGGAAGAGGAGAAGGAGGAAGAGGAGGAGGAGCAGGAGGAGGAGGAGGTTGGGTTTCTTGTGGAAGGCTTCTGGTGGACTGGCCTCTGCACTGTGTATGCGCGCGCGCCTCCCCCCGAGGAGCGGAGCCGGGCTGGATCACGTCCACGGGGCTCGTCCCGGGGGCCTGGGGCTTTGCCCCGGAGGCCTGGAGGCACCGGGGCTCTCAAGCAGCGGCGAGGCGCCCCGGCCTGCCTGCAGTACGCTAGGGGAACGAGCAGCGCCGCCCCAGGGTCCAGCGCCAATCCGAGAAATCCGAGTGGACCTCAGAGTTATGATGTTCATGCCACATTCTGTTTCCCTACATACAGGCCCGCCAGGGAGCCTTCTAGAAGAGCCTCTTGCGTGTGTGTTTTTGCACGGGCTCCCTTGCACGCCGGACACTTTGCCCCCGATTAGCCTGGCGCTGGTGCGATTCGCCTCCGCCTCGCCGCCGACGAAAGAAGCTGTCTTGCACGGAGGGTTCTGACAACCTCTCTGGCCGAGACAGTCTCGTATATTGAGGCGTCGGGTTTGTTCGGGTTTCAGAGACATCAGGTTTACGACATCGGATCTAAGACAGGGTTTACGACATCAGGCTCGTCCAGGGGGTCTGGGGCATCGCCCCAGAGGCCTGGAGGCGTTGGGACGACATGAACGACACGGGCACGGAAAGAATGGGCGCGATGCCCAGCACTTCCTCTTCCTTTTGAGCAGTACTCGTTGTCCGCGGCGCCTCGGACGTCGTCCATTTGAGGCAGAAGGCCGCCCGCCCGACAGCGGCCGCTGTCGGTTTCGGACAACCTTGCTTCGGGGAAACGTAAGACTCGAGTAAGCTGGAACTCGGGTTTGCCGACGTTTTCTGACAAGCGCATTTTGGAGTTGACGGTCCTGTTTTCGTGGGATGTGTGCAGCGGGAGCTCGCGTCAAATGTCAGAATGGGTCTCGTCATTTTCATGATGGCCCCGTCAGGCCAGCCCGAGTCCCCCGTGCCCGAGTCTTGCGTCTCCCAGACTGTTGCTCGGCATCGTGCCCATGCTTCCCGTGCCCACTTCGGGCGTCCGAACCTGGACGGCGCCAGCCGTCAGCGTTCGCTCGACCGATTCACGTCACCGTCCCGAGCCCCACCATCCCACCACCCCACTCGGTGGGGAGCACGCCTCGGGGCCCAAAAGGGGGCAGCCGATATCCCCTCTACTTTTGATCTGCGGGGCGAGAGCGAACCTCTTCCGCTGAAAGGATATCCCCATACAGGGTGTACGTAAGTCGGGCATGTCCCTCTACAGGGAGAATGTTCAAAAAGCGTAAACAAATCGCCCGGGGACGATTTGTTTCATCTGTTCCTGAGTCTGTTCTTGAATGTTGTTTGACCTGCGTTTATTTGCCTCCAAAGTCCGCCTTTGGGAGGACATGCCCGATCGAGATCTGTGGGAGCGCTCTGGGAGAAAAGCAAAAAACACTGCACAGGCATCATTTCTCGGAGCCCAGACCCCCGACGTCGTGATTTTTTCACCACGTCGACCCCCAGAGGTCTGGACCCCTTCCCCGGGACCGGTTCTTGGTCCTGAGCCGTTTTGTTGACGGCCCCGAGGCCCGGGAAGGGCCTCCAGAGGACGAAAATGGCGAAAAACCTCCCGTCGTGATTTTTCCACGACGCGAAAATGGCGAAAAACGCGTCTCGAGGGCGACCCGTCCAGAGGGCGAAAATAGCGAAAAAAACCTCCCGTCGTGATTTTTTTCACGACGCCGAGGAGGTCTGGGAGGCCCGCGCGGATCTCTCGGCTCGGCCCTGGGCCCCACCCCTTTTTGGGCGCGCTTGGGCGAGCGCTCCGCGCGCCAGGCCAGGGGGGCCCGGCGCCGATCCGAGAGATCCTCGCGGACCTCCCCAGACCCCCTCGAGTCATGAAAAAATCACGACGGGATGTTTTTCATTATTTCTGGACCCTGGGGGCCCTTACCGGCCCTCGAAAACGCCAAAAAACGACTCAGGACGAAAAACCGGACCTGGGGAATGGGTGCAGACCTCTGGGGGTCGACGTCATGAAAAAATCATGACGTCGGGGGTCTGGGTCCGAGGATCAAACGACGCGAAGATCGGGCCAAAGTCGGATCGGGATGACTCGAAATCTCCGAGAATCGGCGGGCTTGGAGGATGTATTGGGCGCCGCGGCCGCTCCAGAGCGTTCCGGAACGCTCTGATCAGGAGGAGAAAAAACACACAGACACAATTAATCGTCGATTCCCCAGAAAATATTGGAAAATATGGGAAGTGGGGGGGAAGACAGAAACCCAGAAAATATGATAAAATATGGGGAATATTTTTATTCGTGTGTATTTATTTGTGTGTCCCAGGGCCCCTTCATCTGAGAGCGCTCCGGAACGCTCTGGAGCGATGTATCCCGATCCTGGCCCTGCTTTAGAAGAGCGTTCCAGAAGAGCTCCGCGGAGCTCCGAGGTCCGAGGGAGAGCCGGGCCTCCGAGAGGGCCGAGAGGTCCGAGAGAAGCTTCCGCCAGGAAGCCGCGGACCTTCGCGAGGTCCTCGCGGGCCTCCGAGAGACCCGAGAGGTCCGAGAAGCTTCCACCAGGAAGTCGCGGACCTCCGAGAGGTCCTCGCGAGGGCCTCCGAGAGAGCCGAGAGGTCCGCGAAGCTTCCGCCAGGAAGCCGCGGGCCTCCGAGAGGTCCTCGCGAGGGCCTCCGAGAGACCCGAGAGGTCCGCGCGGGCCTCCGAGGAGCGTTCCCGAAGGGGTGGAGCGCGGCGGGGTCTGCAGACCGCTCGCGGCCTCCCCGGGGGGCCTTCGCCGGGCCCTCGGGAGCGGCAGAGGACGGCCCCGGACGCAAGCCCTCGGCATCGCTCGGACGTGTGCATTTTTCCTTCGGCGAGGACCATCAGGGAGCATCCTTCTCAGACCCCCTGGAGTCGTGAGAAAATCACGACGGGAGGTTCTTCATGGTTTTTGGCTTCTGGGGGCCCTTCCCGGCCCTCGGGGCCGTCAAAAAACGACTCAGGACGAAGAACCGGTCCCGGGGAAGGGGTCCAGACCTCTGGGGGTCGACGTCATGAAAAAATCATGACGTCGGGGGTCTGGGAAGGAGCATCCTTGATGATTTGGCGAGAAAACCACGCACGAAGCCGGAAGAAGCACAGGGAATGGACGTCCGAGCGATGGCCAGGGGCCGGCCCCAGGGGGCAGCGGCCCAGGCCTCCTGGGGCCCACGCACCGCAGAGATCGGAGCTGCCGGATGTCTGGGCTTTCGCCGGGCTTCGTTTCGCCAGGCTTCGTTTCGCCAGGCTTCGTTTCGCCGGGGTTGGCTTTCGCCGGGGTTGGCTGTCGCCGGGGTTGGCTTTCGCCGGGGTTGGCTTTCGCCGGGGTTGGCTTTCGCCGGGGTTGGCTTTCGCCGGGGTTGGCTTTCGCCGGGGTTGGCTTTCGCCGGGGTTGGCTTTCGCCGGGGTTGGCTTTCGCCGGGGTTGGCTTTCGCCGGGGTTGGCTTTCGACGGGGTTGGCTTTCGCCGGGGTTGGCTTTCGCCGGGGTTGGCTTTCGCCGGGGTTGGCTTTCGCCGGGGTTGGCTTTCGAGGGGGTTGGCTTTCGCCGGGGTTGGCTTTCGACGGGGTTGGCTTTCGACGGGGTTGGCTTTCGACGGGGTTGGCTTTCGCCGGGTTTCTTTTCGCCAGGCTTCGTTTCGCCAGGCTTCGTTTCGCAGGGCTTCGTTTCGCCGGGGTTGGCTTTCGCCGGGGTTGGCTTTCGCCGGGGTTGGCTTTCGCGGGGTTGGCTTTCGCCGGGGTTGGCTTTCGCCGGGGTTGGCTTTCGCCGGGGTTGGCTTTCGCCGGGGTTGGCTTTCGCCGGGGTTGGCTTTCGCCGGGGTTGGCTTTCGACGGGGTTGGCTTTCGCCGGGGTTGGCTTTCGCCGGGGTTGGCTTTTGCCGGGGTTGGCTTTCGACGGGGTTGGCTTTCGCCGGGCTTCGTTTCGCCAGGCTTCGTTTCGCCAGGCTTCGTTTCGCAGGGCTTCGTTTCGCCGGGGTTGGCTTTCGCCGGGGTTGGCTTTCGCCGGGGTTGGCTTTCGCTGGGGTTGGCTTTCGCCAGGGTTGGCTTTCGCCGGGGTTGGCTTTCGCCGGGGTTGGCTTTCGCCGGGGTGGCTTTCGACGGGGTTGGCTTTCGCCGGGGTTGGCTTTCGACGGGGTTGGCTTTCGCCGGGGTTGGCTTTCGCCGGGGGTTGGCTTTCGCCAGGGTTGGCTTTCGCCGGGGTTGGCTTTCGACGGGGTTGGCTTTCGCCGGGGTTGGCTTTCGACGGGGTTGGCTTTCGGGGTTGGCTTTCGCCGGGGTTGGCTTTCGCCGGGTGTTGGCTTTCGCCGGGGTTGGCTTTCGCCGGGGGTGGGCTTTCGCTGTGGTTGGCTTTTGCCGGTGGTTGGCTTTCGCCGGGGTTGGCTTTCGCCGGGGGTTGGCTTTGGCCGGGGTTGGCTTTCGCTGGGGGGTGGCTTTCGCCGGGGTTGGCTTTCGCCGGGTTGGCTTTCGCCGGGTTGGCTTTCGCCGGGTTGGATTTTGCCGGGGTTCCAGGGCAGTGGTCCAGGCCTGGGCCCACGCACCGAAGAAGTCGGAGCTGCCGGATGTCTGGGTTTATGTTATGTCTTCTTGTGGCTGCCGTATCCGGAGCGGCGCCAACTGCGCGGGCGTGGACGTGGGCATGGGCGTGGGTTTGGGGTGGTATGTGCCGGGTGTGGGCGCGGGCGGGGGGCGTGGGTGTGGGCGTGGAATTTGGGGTGTGGGCGTGGGCGTGGGTTTTGGGTGTGGGCGTGGGCGTGGGCGTGGGTTTTGGGTGGTATGTGGTGGGCGTGGGCGTGGGCGTGGGCGTGGGCGTGGCGCGGTGGAGCCCGCGCCCGAGCACGCAAGCCGTGGATGTTGCATCGCATGCAGCGAGCGGCCGGCCGCGCACCAAAGGCCACTCCAGGCAGTGGCGAGGCGTCTTGGTCTGCCGACAGGCCCACCAAAGAATGTTCGAAACATTTCTTGTGGCTTTCACGACCTGGCTTTCACGAAGTGTTCTCAGAACATTTTTGGATGCAACCGTCTTCGTTGAATACACCGGCTTTATGTTCTAAGAACAGTAA